TAATATCCATAAAAACTTATTTTTATACGTATATTTCTCTTGGACACTTAAATTTTAGACCGTCTCCTGGGTTAATTTTAATGGAACTTTTGGGTAAAATGTCGATAGTGTTTAGCGTCAAAATCCCAAGTAATTAAATTGTAGTTGGACAGTTTCATTTTATTTCCGAAAAGTTGTTTAAAGAATATTTAAGTCTTTTTAAATATATTGCGGGAGTTTTCCAAAGTACTAAGTTACGCGTCTTTGTAAACTTAGATTTTATTGCTCAAAATATTTTATATGATTTTCTTTTAATTAACAATTACATAGTATATAGAATTGTTCATATAAGGTGTATTCTATTAGTCTAACAATCATTTAAATCATAGTAGGTAATCTAAATGAATAATTCAAAAATATAAATCTTAAATATTCTTATAATTTGTTTGTTTTTTGCCTGAGCTTAAAATTTGAATAATATATTTTTAAGAAACATAAGTTAAAAGTTTATTATAATTATTTTTATCATACTTCAATAAGTCCATAGTTGCATTATAATGGCCGGAGGTTTATTGTATTAATTTTATTATTGAACTTTTTTAATAGGTATTTTATCGATCAAACTTAATGGATATAAAGCATTATAGTGTCAAATATAATATAGAGTAAATGTTTTTTTTTAGTTTTTATTTTATATTATTATTATGAATCAATCAAATTAATTTAATTTTGATACTATTTGCTCGATTATTCAGATTTGACAGATATAAAATACAGGATATCGTCGATTAATGTCATAAAATATTTTAATAATAAAAATATTGTAAAGATATTTTTAGTGTGTGTATTTTTATTTGTATAAAAAAAAGCTGTTTAACAAGATATTCAAATTATAAACTGCAAAATAACGTACAAAAAATGTTAATATTTATAAATAAATTAAATATATAAAAATGATTTTTTAAATATATTACTAAGTTTTCACAATGATACATAATGCATTACTATAAATTTATTTTATTTTTTAAAATTCAGTTTCAGTTTTAGAATTCAATAGAAGTTTTATTTAAGTAAACTGAGTATTTTTGAGTGTGAAGTGTGGGAAAGTCGTTAGATGGAACGCCTCAATAAATAAATAAATAAGGGCTCATTCAAACATATTGCTGATAATATATCATTAAATCGACTGAGAACAGTGTCCAAAGTATTTTTACAGAATCCAGCAACTATTTTGTTTGTTGGTTTACTCAAAGGGATCACGATGGTTTTTCGTTTCAATGGCGTTTAACAAATATCCGGCAGCCTCTTAAAAACAATACTGTTCGCACGTACTCTAACGTCGTTGACATATACTAATCGCCCCGCAACGTTTTTAGCACGTTATTTGAACAACACTTATTTATGGCAGCTACTCGTTTTTCCCGGTCAACCCCTGTGGCTACGGTTCAGTACGTATCCGAACTGTTGGTCCTCGTATTTACTACCCATATGCTTTGAAACACACACTTGCAAGTACACCACTAACGAGACTCTAACGACTGCAAGTTTATCGAGACGGAAGCTTGGTCACGAACGACCGGAGAGAAATGTGTGCTTTATGATTATGTGTGTGAGTTTTTCTGTCCAGTAAAACACACCGCCATGTCTTTTGTAAAGGTGGTTCTGTACAGAGAAAAGGTATTCTCTATACTGTAAACACTTTGTCGACATGTTTCACACTCTGAAATTGGAATATGATCGTTTCCCTATCCAATTTTCTATTCTGCATAGTTTGTTCGACAACAAACGCCGCCGGCAGTCAATTTTGGTTTACTATAAACAACGACGTTTGAAATATGAGTTTTTTTTTTTAACCCGCCTCCTAGTATTTTTTCACACCTGCTGTAATGTCGAGCGAACATTTCCGAATAATTTAAATACATTTTATAAAATATGGCATGAAAATCTTCATACACGATATAAAAAAAAAAAAAGAGTTCTATAATATTTTACGTCTCTAGATATGAAGACTGGTTTTTTGGAATATTTCACGATAAGTTACAAGTTCAATAAAATATTCATGATACGAAAAAAACTTTATAATTTTAGATCTCGCTATAAATAATTCATAGCATTAATGTATACTTAAAATTAAGTTTTTATGTTATTGTAGTTTATTAATTACATAAATGTCTTAAAAACACAAATGAATTTTTCATAAAAGTTTGTCTGAAATTTTTTTCAAGTGAATTTCAAAAATAAAATTCTGAGAATTAACGTAAAATGTTGACTCTAAATTGGATAGATAATTTAGTAAACGTTCTCACAGATATAAAAATAGACGACGATCATATTTTTTTACGAAGCTATTTCGCCGATAAAAAAAGCAAACAGGAGAAAATGGGATTTAAACAAAGTAGTAGTTGTTTAGAGCAACTGAGATATTCATAAAATGACTGAATAATGTTTGATTAGCCGTGAAACGTGTTTTTATTGGATGGCCGACCTGAAGTGAAGGAACAAGGGACTTTGTTAAATCCTTTGTTGTGCACCCGAGTGTTACCAAAGCGATCTACAATAATAATAATGCATAAATTCCTATTCATTTTTAAGGTAAAAAAATCTTACAGTTTATTGAAAAGTACATTACTTCTATAAAAATAATAATAGATATAATAATGAGATTCAAATTTTTGAAAGAAATGAATAAATTCAGTAACAGTGCGTGAATAATAATGTATAAAAAACCTCAATAAATATTCAAATAATTTTAGTTCTACTATATTAATACAAGTCATATTGATCAAATTTTTGGTAATAAAAACATAAAAGTGTTAATGATGTAATTTGTTTAATTCAAATATTAACATTTAATATTTATATGAGAAGTGAGATTTTTTAATTTCTAGAATACTTATTAATTGATTTTCGGAATTAATTTTCTAATTGTTTTTCGAAAAATTAAAAAAAAAAAAAACTACTTTTAGTGTACATCATTTATCATGATCCACTTAGGTAATCGAAAAATAAAAATAATACTGATAACATTATTGTAAAGAAAAAATAATATTAAGAAACTCAATATTAATTTGTGGTTTTCTTTAGATGTATTTTTTAGAATCTGTAATTAATAAGAGGAGAATATGAGTATAGACTTTCCGGACGAAAATAATTACATGGTAAAGTCACAGTTTTTTGTTTTGAAAGGATAATTATGATTTCTTATTCTACCAAGACTAAGTTACGGCCTTGATTTTATGTATCAAATATAATTAAAATTGTATGTTTCACAAGTTATAAGAATGATAAATTAGCATTATTTTATCTCGCCTAAATGTTACCTATTTCTATTTAAAATTAAAAACTGAAAATTGTACAATTTTATCAAAATAAAATTATTGATACCTTAATTTTGATGAAAGGATTACGTACCTAAATTTTAAAATATTTTCATTAATTACTTGAAATTAGAAGTTATTAGTAATATTTAAACATTGTAAACGTTAACTATTTATTATTATCATGATGAAAATTTGCTTTAAATTATATTTAATATTTAAAAGTGATTTATTATTTAAATGAAAACTATTCGTGTAATAGTGAACAAGAGATTACATATATTATACACGTTTTGTGACAGGAAATTTCATTTCTTGTGGCAACAAATAAATTACCTCTCTAATGTAGTGAAGTCTATTGTTTCTAGGTACTTATATGCGTTTTGTCAGAGTTTTTCAGTAGTCTCTACCATTGATGGGAGAATAAAATACACAAAAGTAACATTTTACTTCAGAGTTGCTATAAACTTCACAATAAGCATTTAGAAAACAGAAAAAATAAAACATGGGTCAATGAGTTTTATACAATACATTGAATCATTCGTCAACGTCTCGTTGGTTAATGTTATCTCTGTTTACGAAAGTATTTTAAATAATAATAAAAAAAAAAAATTGGGCTTTTAGTAATCGTTTATAAAAAATTCTACAATAAAAGAGACTTTTTCAGTGATATTTCAAGTAATAAAATTGAATATTTTCAATTTGTATAGATTTATACAAAAATATACAAATAGAATTATTAATTAATAAATAAATGCTAAACATATTATATAATTCAATATTATTGTTAAGCTAAAGTATCGTTTTACAGATTGTAATTTTCATTCAAGCTTAAGAAACCGAAGAATATGAAATTTTATCTTCAAAGTGAATAATTTATAAGTATAACCTTTTCGAAAGTAACTAGAGGTCCTATAAGTTGAAATTCTTTTATACAAGTTTGATAAGTAATATTGCGAGCTTTTAAGGTCATTGAAGTTGTTCATGAAGTTTATCAGGACGATTATTTATGTAGTTTTGGTTGGTTAAGTATATTCCACATAATGCGTTGTTTTTTGTAACCATAGTTACTGGGGAAGATCATTATAAATAGTGCTGAGCATCAAATCCAGATCCATCCGTATTCCGGACGATCCGTTTGGACTTAATAAAATTGACCAGAATCTGGCAATTTAAGTCATCTGGATCAAATTACTAATTAAGTGACACAATTTTAATTTAATCATTCAACTTAAGTTTTTAGATAAATATATTTTAAATTCGTGTTGTATTTTGAATTCGGATAGTACTTTGAATCCGGTTTGTATTTTGAATCCGAATTTTACATTAAATCTGAATTGTAAACTGCATTTGGATTTACTAGTTCAATCTGGATGAAACGTATTTTATGCGTAATCAGAGTAAAACATATTTAATCTGGATTGCGAATTGATTGAGAATTTTCAAAGTAATAATTTTAACAAAGTTTTTGATATTTACTAATGATAGTAAGCATTTTTTGAATTACAGAGTGTTATTTATGGTGTTGAATTTTTCAAGTCAAATACCAATTCAAATGATGTTGATATTTAGGAACAAGTATCAAATAATATATACACATATATGTTTTTTGATACTTATTGCGCCCTCTTAACTTTTCAAATATTTACGTGTTTTAAGACTTCAAAATGCTTTTTATAAAATTATTTTTTGAAGAATACATACCGTTTTTAGTGGATGCAATGAATACCTTGACTAATCTGGGAATAGCCCATTTTGCTGAATCTAATTCACCTCTAAATACTCTTTGCACTTCTTCTTCGTTGTTCATATCTGCGAATCCATATCTGTAATCGTAACAAACAACCTTTGATTATGACTAAACCAAGATTAATGCTGTTTATTAATGCTATGATGATTAGATAAAGTTCCACTTAAAGCTATAGTAACATCACTAATTTAATTTAATCAAGAAAATATATTAAAGTGGCTTACTGGCCCCACTATATAAGCCACGAATATTTTGTAGTGTTATTATCTTGTAATTAGATAAATAATAACACTACAGTAAAAACACTGAATACTAACACAAATTCATCTAACACACTTTTTCCATATGAAAATTTAACAGCAGTTCATATTATTTAAGTGTTTATTTATTTAATATTTGTTTATACAATAGAATTTTATACATTTTTCTAAGAAAAAATGGAATTATCTTCCCATACTAATCAGTATATACATTAAAAAAAAAAAATAGATGTTTGGGTAATAGTTTAACATATAGCTCTAATTCTTTACATGCAATATATGTATGTATCATACATACATTTACTACGATATAAATGTATACATACATAACGTATAGTTGTGTTTTAAATAAAGTGCTTCAGTGAACAACATCTTTACTATATACTTAAAAAGCCTGAAATTGTTTTTATGTTCTTCACGTATTACTTTATATAAAATTCTTAGTTAAATGAAACTTTTTTAGAAAATATTTCAACAAATTATGAGTATTCATTTTATTGTATAGTATTACATTGATATATATGATTTTTATTTAAACATTATTAAATAGGAAACAAAAAAACATTTTTTTTTTCATTAATGAATTAAAATAAAGTTATCCACAAAAAATAAAATCCTCTTAAAGTATGAATATATTGATGTGAATAGTTATTTTTATTTTTATAAAATGGTACCAATTACTTGAACGTTGTACATATTTTTAAATTCCATTGACATTATATAACTTATATATGTATACCAAGACATCGTTTAAAACTAATTAGTTTTTGTCTTGGTTGCAGAATTATAGTGTACTGCCTTTAAATGTGCCTAAAAAAGTTTTTTGATATAGCTCTTGTCAAAGTTTCTTCGTTTAAAATTTAAATATTTAGCAATGCAATGAAACAAAAAACCAACCTTCATTTATACTAACTGATAAAATGTACGCAATAAGAAACCTATGTAAATTGTATAAAATGTATTTTGTTTTAAAAGTCATAATACTCAATTTTTCTCCTTCAATTAATTTTACAATCTGATAAATTATTTTAATCATAAAAAAAAATTTAATTTTTTTACTATGCCTAATATTATGAAAATATTTGCTATTTGTTGTGATATTCAAGATAATATTTTATAATATGTCTTAAAAATAATTAAGGTTAAAAAATTTAGCTAAAATAAAATTGTTGGTTTATTTAATACAAACCAAGTATATTCAATTATGTTCTTGAATTTAGTATAAAATATAACAATGTTTTAGGCCCTAAAATTTTATGCAATATTTATTAAACAAAATATCAAGTTAGTTTTTATCTACGTTGTTTAAATGGAAAAGTTTTTAGTTCACTACCATTTGCTTTCCTAACGACATCGAGTACACTATTTTACTTCAAAATTATTTCTAAATACAATTTAACAATTTCATTTTATCACAATAAAAAATAATAATTTAACTATAAAAGCATAAATTGAGATTATTTTATACTGCGTGTGAATTCTAATAATCAAGTTGGAAAAATAAGAGAGTATAATCAATAAAAATAAGTCAGTAAACAAAAAAATTAAAAAATTCGTTTTTATTCTTAAATAAGTGGAATTAAAGTAATAATTCCATCGAATAATAATGTAATATTCCAATGAACAGTAGAAAAATATTTAAATAATACATAAATAATTCTTAGGTATTTTTAATATCTCTTTATAGCCTGTTAAGTTCTTTGAGGGTAAACATTAAATAACGTTAGCTTCAGAAAGTTTAATTGCTGGCTGCATTGGCAATAATGCGAGCATAAATTTAAAATGACAAAAAACGAACAGTACCTACCAAAAATGTTAGAACTGTTTCATTAAATAATAAATAAAACATGGAAATATTAAAAGTACACGATATAAAATATTATTTATTAATATTTTGATGTTTTATATAGGTAAAAAAATATAAATAACACATGTGAAGCAAACATTAGACAGCAATTTATTTCCTTTATGAAAAATAGTTTATAGTTTATTATGACAAAATACTGTTGCTCGACAGCGTTATAACTTGAATATTCTATTTGTATAAAGTATAAAGGATGATAAAATGTGTAAAAAAAATCTTATAAATAGTATAAATCTACCCCATTAGAAAGTAAAAGATAAACATAAATAATATTCCAGGAAACAAAAAATAAAGTAGACAAGAAATTTATTTTAGTGGGAGTTCATGAATAAACAGAAAATACATAAAAGACTTAAAATATAATAAAATATTAATATCTCACTCAATAATGTAAAAAACCTTTTAAAGTATGTAATTCATACCATAATGTATATGATTTCCACTTGAGATTTTGATTACTTTTACCGCATTTTAATTATACGGAGTCATAGGCTAAGTATATATCAATTAGAATTGAGCTAATTACTTTTTTAACTGACCCTAATGGTTAATTAACACAGTAATAAATATTATTTGTACATTGTACAGGACTCACCAACGAAAAGACATTTTTTCTTAGTTACAATTAAAGTAAACTGAGATAAGATTTCAATATTGAAATAAATAATTTTATTTTATATTTATGAACAAATGATTGATAAATAACAAATAATGGATCATTAATATATTTTTTTAGATGTTACGCAATCATCGAATTAAAATTAAATAAATAAAATTAAAACTATATTAAAAATATTATTAATTTAAAATACTAATAAATATTAAACTCAAAAGCCACAAAAAAGTTACTGAAAAGTCGTGGATACTTATTTCGGAAACAATGTTACTATTATCAACGCTAAACACATACGGTACGAGTATGTGTTTAGCGTTATAGTTGATATTTTAAGTTGAAAGAATTGAATTATTTTTATTTTGGAAATTAATGAAAAAGTTTTGTCTTAGGGTAAAAGTCTAACGTTACTCTACAAGAATACATTTTATAATTATTTTGAAACAAAAGAGGTTTGTACATTATTTTTTAAATTTAAATAATTACTTTAATAACATTTAGTCCAATTTTTACGAAATTATCATAATAAATTAAAAATATTATCTTTTGAGATCGAAATGTATGCCTAAATCTCATTTTATATATTTTAATTGAATATTATATTGATTTAAAAAAATACTTAATTCAATAAATTATCTTATTATTTTGAGTAAAAAACTGGTATATGGTGATTTATTTATTAATTAAAACTTACTAACAGGATTTTTACCCCATCAATAAAGTAAAAGTATTTTTTATTTCAGTTGTTTAATACTTATTAAATAAAATTCAAATCTCAAGATTGTTACTTAACTTTTATTTTTGATATTTTGTCTAAAAAAAGTATAAAAATTGTTCATAACTACCTTATACTAAAAGTTATATGCAATAAAATGTGCGTTCTATTACCTCAGGTTACTCTAATAGTTTTAATTCTTTTATAAATAAAAAATATTTTAGTGAATCGGTGCACTAGTAATACAAATTGTTAGTTTTATATCTATAGACTTAAAACTTCATTTTTTAACGTGGTGTTTTTTAATTATTTACATCTCTTCAGGTAGTACTTGAAAACAAACTAAAAAATGTCAAACTTTGATGGGGACAAACATAAAAAGTGTTAGTGAATAAAATTACACATGTGAATAAACACTCACATTATTCTGTACGCGTTTCACTTGTAGACTTACTTTTTGAAAAGTACAATATTACACCATTAACCACATTTACTTATTTATTTTATATTTTAATATAATAAGAATAGTAATAATAATTTGAAATTTTATTATTCCCTCTCAGAATTTAATATATTTATAAACGAAGCTGTGTTCTCTATTACACACTCTAACATTCTATTATATGCAGATAGTACAAACATTTTCAAAACGATGACTTCTTCAGGTAATATTAACCTACAACAATGTGATTTATCTGAATTTAACAAATGGTACATGTCAAATCGTCTTCCATGGAGTATTGACAAATTCCATAACGTAACCTCTTTTAAAAATCACAATTTCTTCAATTTTAATTATTATATGCTTAACATTAACTTACGCCATTCTCTATTAATTAAAGATTTTGGTATTTTATTTAATACTAAACTATTAAATGCTCATATATCAGTGATAAAAAATATAGTTTTAGCAATTTTTCGTATGATAAAAAGAAATTGCTCTGATTTTCATGACCCACATTCGATCAAATGTCTATACTGTGCTAGTTTGTTCCTAACTAGAATATACTAAATTAATATTGAATCAAAAAAATGAAGAACACAATTTTCATCTAAAAAAATAAAAATAAATTTCTCAGATTTATATGTCATAATTGTAATATTCAAAGAATTCCGCGCACTGGTTACAAGAATATCTTAAAGATGTAAAATTTAGAAACATTAAAAATACGTAGAATTATATTTTACCTTTCTCACTATATTACTATATAATGAGATTGATAATTAATTTTTATTAAATTAATAAATTTCAAAGTAAATAATCAGTACACCCACAAAAATAATTTATTTCACATTCCTCATTTTTATAAAAAGTATGTCTAATGACCCAATTAATATTTTAATGTCTTCTGGTCAATTAATTTAATAATTGTTGTTTGAATTATGTATTATTATATTCACCTGTTACTATGTTATAAATTGTTTTATTCCATTATATCGTATTATTATTATTTATAATAATGTATAGTTAATTGGACATGGTGTGTATGAATTATTAAATAAATGAACTACAATTATTACATGCTCTTGTCAATCACTTTTGTAAAATACCATACTGGAGATTATTGTCACCACTGGTTAGGTTTTGGCTAGAGAGTCATTCACACATTTTCCTTTCAAATAA